GGGGGCGGTGCCAGGGAGGGGTCGGCACCCGCTGGACCCCGAGGCCGTGCCCAGGGATGGGCAGAGAAGCCCAGGGATGGGCAGGGAAGTTCAGGGATGGGCAGGGAAGCCCAGGGATGGGGTAGAAATTCCAGAAAAGCCCAGGGATGGGCAGGGAAGTTCAGGGATGGGCAGGAACTCCAGGGATGGGCAGGGAAGCCCAGGAGTGGGCAGGAACTCCAGGGATGGCCAGGGAACTTCAGGGATGGGCAGGGAAGCCCAGAGATGGGCAGGAATTCCAGGAAAGCCCAGGGATGGGCAGGGAAGCTCAGGGATGAGCAGGGAAGTTCAGGGATGGGCAGGAACTCCAGGGATGGGCAGGGAACTTCAGGAGTGGGCAGGAACTCCAGGGATGGGCAGGGAAGTCCAGGGATGGCCAGGGAATCTCAAGGATGGGCGGGGATGGGCAGTGTTTCCCAGCAACTCCCTGAGATGCCCAGTCACATCCAGGGATGCCCAGGGAAGCTCAGGAGTGCCACAGATGCCCAGGGCTGGCCAGTAACTCCTGGGAGGCCCAGGGCTGGCCAAGGATACCCAGTGATGCCCAGGGATGCCCAGGGAAGCCCAGAAATGCCACAGATGCCCAGGGCTGGCCAGTAACTCCTGGGAGGTCCAGGGCTGGCCAAGGATACCCAGTGATGCCCAGGGAAGCCCAGGAATGCCACAGATGCCCAGGGCTGACCAGTAATTCCCGGGAAGCCCAGGGATGGCCAGGGATACCCAGTGATGCCCAGGGAAGCCCAGGAATGTCACAGATGCCCAGGGCTGGCCAGTAATTCCCGGGAGGCCCAGGGATGGCCAGGGATACCCAGTGATGCCCAGGGCTGCCCAGCAGCCCCCCCCGGGGATATCAGGGTGCCCCCCCGGTACCTTCAGGCAGTTGAGGACGGAGGTGGAGTAAGTGGGTGCCACGGCCGTGTACGTCCGGCGGAACATCCTGGGGGGGGGGCAGGGGCGGGGGGGGGCTGGGGGGCACAGCTGGGACCCCCCCGGGGGCTGGGGACAGTCCCTGGGTGTTGGGGGAACCCCCTCGGTTCTGGAGTAACCCCCCTGGGGTGCTGGGGGACCCCCTTGGGCACCGGGTACCCACCTCGGTTCTGAGGGACCCTCCCCACCCTTGGTGCTGGGGGCAGTCCCTGGGTGCTGAGGGACCCCCTTGGGCACCCCCCAGGGTGCTGGGGACAGTTCCTGAGTACTGGGGGGATCCCCCAGGGTGCTGGGGACAGTTCTTGGGTATTGGGAGACCCATCTGGCTGTTGGGGGACCCCCTTGGGCACTGGGGACCCACCTCGGTTCTGAGGGACCCCTCTTGGTGCCAGGGACAGTCCCTGGACGTGAGGACAGTTCCTGTGTACTGGGGGACCCCCTTGGGCACTGGGGCCCCCCTCCCAGTGCTGGGGACAGTCCCTGGACATGGGGACACTCCCTGACCACTGGGGACAGTCCCTGGACATGGAGACATTCCCTGACCACTGGGAGACCCCCTTGGACACTGGGGGGCCCCCCGGGGTCCTGGGGACAGTCCCTGGACATGGGGACAGTTCCTAAGTACTGGGGGACCCCCTTAGGTACTGAAGACCCCCCCCCCCGATGCTGGGGGCAGTCCCTGGACATGGGGACACTCCCTGACCACTGGGGGACCCCCTTGGACACTGGGGTGCCTCCCCGGGTGCTGGGGACAGTCCCTGGACATGGGGACAATTCCTGAGTACTGGGGGACCCTCCTGGGCACTGGGCCCCCCCCGGGGTGCTGGGGACAGTCCCTGGACATGGGGACACTCCCTGACCACTGGGGGACCCCTTTGGGTACTGGGGACAGTCCCTGGACATAGGGACACTCCCTGATCGCTGGGGACACCCTTGGGCACTGGGGCCCCCCCGGGTGCTGGGGACAATCCCTGGACGTGGGGACACTCCCTGACCACTGGGGACCCCCTCCCCCCGCATTCTGAGCCCCCCCCCCCCCCTCCCCCCGCTGTGGCGGCCCCGGGGGGCACCGGGGCTCCCCTCCCCCCCCCCCCCCGCCCCCCCCCCCTTTTTCCAACCTCCCACCTCTCCTCGAGTATTCCCAGGCCTGACATTCCCACCTCTCCACGAAGATTCCCGCCTGGACGGCGTGCACGATGCTGCGGAACTTGGGTTTCTCCTCGGCCCGGCGCCCCTTGGCCCGCGCCTGCTGCGTGAAGGTGGCCGCGAGCCAGTCCCGCACCTCCGACGGCACCGCCGCGTCCGAGCCCATCTCCCGCAGCTCGTCCTCCGTGTCCAGCACCTGCCTGCGGGGGGGAGGAGGGCTCAGCTCCCCGCGGGGACCCCCCCCGGACCCCCCCTTCCCCCCTCGGAGTGCCCCCCACCCACCTGGTCTCGTCGATGTAAACGGCCTCGAGCAGAGAGGCCGCGTATTCCAAATTGCGCTTGAGCTCGTCCACGTTCACCTCGCCCGAGTCGAGCTGCTTCACCAGGTACCGCAGCCTGGGGGGGCAACGCGCCGACCCCCCCGGGGTGGGCACGGGGTGTTACGGACCCCCCGGAATGAGCACGGGGCGTTATGGACCCCCAGAATGGGCACGGGGTGTTACGGACCCCCGGGGTGGGCATTGGGTGTTATGGACCCCCCTGGGGTGGGCATGGGGTGTTACAGACCCCCCAGAATGGGTATGGGGTGTTATGGACCCCTGGGGTGGGCATTGGGTGTTATGGACCCCCCTGGGGTGGGCAAGGGGTGTTACGGACCCCCCAGAATGGGCACAGGGTGTTACGGACCCCCGGGGTGGACATTGGGTGTTATGGACCCCCCTGGGGTGGGCACTGGGTGTTACAGACCCCCCAGAATGGGCACGGGGTGTTACGGACCCCCGGGGTGGGCACTGGGTGTTATGGACCCCTGGGGTGGGCATTGGGTGTTATGGACCCCCCTGGGGTGGGCAAGGGGTGTTACGGACCCCCCAGAATGGGTATGGGGTGTTACGGACCCCTGGGGTGGGCATTGGGTGTTACGGACCCCCGGGGTGGGCACTGGGTGTTATGGACCCCTGGGGTGGGCATTGGGTGTTATGGACCCCCC